ATCCAAGGGTGAGGTGGTGCCTGAGTGCGTTCCCTCCGTCCCCAGGGTACCAGGCTCAGGACCCCTCACACTTCTGGAGCCCTTTGTCCTCTGAGGACGTCAGCAACCCCGGTAAGGAATCTAAAGGTTCTCCTTTCTGACCGCTGTGCAGGTCCGGGCTGGGGCCAGTTAGCCTCTGTCTCCCACCCAAAGTACCCAGCCCAGACTCTCACTAACGACAGCCAGCTTTTGCTGAGGGCTTCGTCTCTTCCAGGCATGCTTCTAAGCTCTCCCCGCAGTCCTGAGAGAGAGAGCCTCAGAGGCAGAAGCCAGAGGTTAAGGACCTCGCCCAGGGTCACACAGCTAGTGGCCTGGGAATGTTCCTAACAGCTCCTAAGTGCCAGGGAGAGAGTCGAAGCCCAGGGCCTGGCTGCAGCGCCCACAGCCCTAACCACTGAGCCACTGCTGGCTCCTCACAGGGGCGGCTGCTGCTTTGTGGTTAATTCCACCGGCATTCATGTACTTGCTGGGAAGAAGCTCCTAAAATCCCAGCGTGGGGGCTGGAGGGCCTCAGTGCGATGCCCCCATTGTACAGAGAGTCCCGGACTCTGCTTCTGAAGCTCAACCACCATTTCGTTTATACTGGAAACTGCGATTATTTGCCACCACGGCCACTGCTACAATGATTGCTATCACTTCTCGGGAGGAACCGCCCAAACTTCCTGAGGTGGGGGGTGGGAGCGCCTCAGGGCCCCTGCCCTGTTGAGGGGTGACAGGGGGGTAGGTGGGAGCTGGCGCCACCCTCAGCTGGCGCGCCTCCTGGCCCCTCCCCGCAGATTGCTGGCTGCACGTGCGGCTGTTCTATGGGGCGGAGCTGGTGCGGGAAGCCACCGCGCGCACGGCCGAGGGCTGCCGTCTGGGCCCGCGCGCAGCCGTGGACTCCGCGGCGGAGCGCCTCCTGGGGCCGCCCCGCGTGGCGCAGGTTCGCTTCCCGGAGCCGCCGCCCGGAGCCCGCGTGCTGCGGCGCCTGCTGCCGCACCTGCAGCGCGGGGTGCTGCTGTGGGTGGCGCCCGAGGGCGTGTTCGCCAAGCGCCTGTGCCAGGGCCGCGTGTACTGGCGCGGCCCGCTCGCCCCGCACCGCGCGCAGCCCAATAAGCTGGAGCGGGAGCGCACCTGCCAGCTGCTGGACACGCGCCGCTTCCTCGCTGGTAGGTGGAGCCGGTGGGGCCGGGGCGGCTGGACACACGGGTGGGCAGAGGGATGTGGGCAGAGGAGAGTGGGCACAGGAGGTGTGGGGGCAGGGCCATGGGCTTCAGGAGGCTGGGCCTGGGGTGGACATCGAAACAAAGGACATGGCACAGAAGCACCGGGAGTGGGAACAAATATGGCCATCAGGAGAGCTGGGCACAGTTATAGATGTAAACATCTGGGAGATATAGGCGGGAACAGGCTGGGGGCATTGGGTGTGGGGCATACGCAGAGGCGTGGGCAGGTGTGTTGTCATAGGGCAGGGCACTAGGCATAGGGTGGGCAACAGGGGCACTGGGCACAACATAGGCTAGGGGAGTGGCAATGGGCATGGATGGGCATAAAGGCAGAGCAGTGAGCGCAGGGGCACAAGACATGGGGCATGAGCACTGGAAGTGGGCACGATGTAGGCATAGATGTGGAAGTGGGCATAGGGCATGGTGTACACAATGGGGATGTGGACTTATAGGACATGGGCATGGGATATGAGCACAAGGTGGGCACCAGGCGGGATGTCCCATCTTGGCCCAGCCCCTACAGTCTCAGTGCCCGTAGAACTGCGGGCCCACCTGCAGGATGGTCACCCAGAGCCCGAGTACCAGATCCGTCTGTGCTTTGGCGAGGAGTACCCGGGCCCCCCGGACCAGCCCCAGGAGCGGCTCATCATGGCCCACGTGAGTCACGTCCCCACTCCAGTCCCCACACCCTCCAGTCCCCCCTAACAGCCCCTCACTGCTCCGCCTAGTCCCAGCTCTGCCCCTGACCTGCTCTATGACCGTCTGATCGGTATGACCCTGCATGTAAAATGTGTGTGGGGAAGGGGCCATCATTAGGGCTGTGACTTCCCACGGGAACATAGAAGGTGGGTTACGGAGAAAGTCGGCTCATTGCCTCACCTCCCACCCCTGCAGGTGGAGCCAGTCTTTGCCAGAGAGCTCCTCCTGCACACGAAGCAGCGCAACCACAGTGCCCCGGTGGCGAGGCCCCCGTCCCCACACCCCTGATGGCATCGCTCACGTGATGACGCAGCTGGGTCAGCCCTGAGCAGCCACTTCTTCCTCACACCTTCTAAAGTCAGCCCCACGGGAGGCAGAGCCCACCCAGCTCTGCCCAAACGGAGCCAGTGGACCTGGGCCTCCCCCCCACCCCCACCGAGCACGGGCTTCAGCCTCTGAGCTGCGGAGATGCAGCCCTGGAGCGCAGTGTGCGGTGGACGGCCTCACAGCTGGGCCCGGGGTGTCAGGCGGGACCGAACTGGACCTTGAGAGTCCAGAAACAGCAATTAGAACAAGAAATAAGACTTCGTTTCTTTGTTGAGAGCCCAACATGCCTATAACAGTTCATCTAAAGCAGACCTTACCTGCGATGGATCCATGATAAGCTTTGCTTAAAGCTGCATTTACCTCTAAGGGGCTGTGAGTTTCCAGACTCTTCCTCCTACCCGGGTTTGGGGTGAGGGGAGGGGGGTCCCCAAAACAGAGGACTTGGCCTGACCCTGGGACTTTGGATGCTAACCGCTAAACCGCCAGCACCAGGAGACACTTTCTTTGGAGAAACTGAATCAGGCCCCCAAGCAGAGCCCCGAGGCAGAAGCCAAAGTGGGAACTAGGAGGAGTCCAGCCCCTCCCCGAACCCCAAACTCTACAAACTGTAAGTTGTAGGAAATTCCTGAGATTGGGAGGGAGCCCCTCAACCATGAGGGCAGCTGACCCTGCTTTGTCAGTAAGTCACTGTTTTCTGCCCCTTTTCTGATTTCCGACTTGTTAGGGCTGCTTTTACAGATGGCGTCATAATAAATCTCTTTCGGTGATACATTAAAAAGTCACATGTTACCCGATGGCATGGCTCAGTGGTTGAGTGTGGACCTATGAACCAGGAGGTCACAGTTTGATTCCTGGTCAAGGCACATGCTCAGGCTGTGGACTCGATCCCCAGTGTGGGTGTGCAGGAAGCAGCCGATCAATGATTCTCTCTCATCATTGATGTTTCTCTCTCTCCCTCCCTCCCTCCCTCTCCCTTTCCCTCTCCCTTCCCTTCTGAAACAAATAAGAATATACATATATTTTTAAAAAGTCACTTTTATGGGGGGAGGAACTATGATTCAACAAAGGACAGAAGTCAATCAGATCACTGTTTTTTAAATTCATTCAACAAATGTTGGTTGAACACCTGTTCCAGGCCCATGCTGGACACTGGGATAGAGCAAAACAGCATGGTCCCTACTCTATTGGGGTTCACAGCCTGTTTTCCAGTGGGGCCCCAGGGACTTCTCTATCCCTGCCCCTCACAGGAGAGGTGATGTTAAGGAGTTACAGAATCCTAGGACCTAGGTTGAAATCCTAGCCTTTTCATTTCCTAGCTGTGTGACCCTAACCAAGTCACTGCACTTCTCTAAGCCTCAGACTCCTCATCTATCCAAAAGCAGCTCTGAAGGCCTCTGGAGCAGGGTTGGTCTGAGAAGTAAATGTGGAGAAGGGAGGTGAATGGACCTGGCACGGAAAGTGGCACACAGTAGGTGCCCTTTGACTTGGTTACTTGTGGTTCAGAGAACATGGAGAGGCTGCCCCATCTTCCAGAAGGCCTGAGTGTCTGTGCTGGGCTTTTTTTGTGCCCCTGGCCCAAGGCTGCAGCTTGTGGGGAGCTCAGTTCAGAGTGACAGCCCTCAACCATGTCCTGCCCTGTGCTAGGCTCGCAGAGGGTGCTGGATACTATGTACGGGAGCCTGTTGCCTCCTCACCACAGCCCGAACAGATGAAGAGTCACCAGCTCCACTTTAGAGATGGGAAACTGAGGCTCAGCCAGGGTCAGGGACTTGATTGGGACACCTCAAGGGAGAGGGCCTATCTCTGCCCAAATGTCTGTCCTCCCTACACCACTAGAGGGCGCCAGGGCTCAGCGGCGGGGTTTGGCTGGCTCTCATCACCATCCCAGGTGCCCCACCCCACATCCACATCCACCCCACTGAGAGGAGATTAGGGAATAAACCGTGTGGCCTCAAGGGCTCTGCATTGTGGGGAGAAGACCACGGCCGGGGAGGAGGAGAGGAGGAAAGGGGAACTGGAGGCGGGGACTGGAGAAGCCCTGGTGGCTTTTCGCACGGAGACTCCCGGTTCCCTAGCTCAGCACTTAGGTTCTAACTTCTCCCCTCTCATCAGGGATGACTGTCTCTCTACCTCTCCCTCTCTTGTGTCGTGTGTGTGTCTCTCTCTGTAGCCTCCTTTTTCTCTCTATCCCTGTAGGTTTCTTTCTCTATTTCAGTGATTCTTTTTCTGTATACTACGTGCGTGTATGTGGCACGTGTGTGTATTTTTGTCTTATCTTTGTGTCTTTATGTCTCTGCCTCTATCTCTCTGTGTGTTTCTGTCTCTTGCTATATCTCTACCTCTCTCTGTCTGTCTCTGTCTCTTTTATATATATATATATATATATATATATATATATATATATATATATATATTTTTTTTTTTTTTATTGATTTTTTTTACAGAGAGGAAGGGAGAGAGACAGAGAGTCAGAAACATCGATGAGAGAGAAACATCGACCAGCTGCCTCCTGCACATCTCCCACTGGGGATGTGCCCGCAACCCAGGTACATGCCCTTGACCGGAATCGAACCCGGGACCCTCCAGTCCGCAGGCCGACGCTCTATCCACTGAGCCAAACCGGCTTCGGCTGTCTCTGTCTCTTTACATCTCTGCCTCTATCTCTTTTTATTTCTGTCTCTGTCTCCCCCTGCTTCACATCATACTCCCCGCCCCTCCCCACCCCCCCAACCAGCCACCACCACACAGCACATGTGGGCTGAGGGTCTCACTCAGTCCCTTCCTTCCCAACTTCTTACCCCTGGCAGCTGCTCAAAACTTCCCAATCCAGGCCTCCTGCCCGCCCTCTTGGGCCTTGGAGGAGGGGGTGAGGGAAGAAGGGAGGGCAGCCTGGCGGGCCCACCCCCTTTTGCCTTTCCAGGCTGGGAGGCTGGGCCAGTGGGCCTTTTAACCAGCCTGGGCGGGCTGTGCCGGACACCAGCCCTGGACGCAGTGCCTGGCTCCCGTGGTCCTGGCAGCCGCCAGCCCGGCCAGCCCAGCCAGCATGCAACAGCAGCCCCCACCCGGGCCCCTGGCCCCTGCAGCCGAGCCCACCAAGCCCCCCTACAGCTACATAGCCCTGATCGCCATGGCCATCCAGAGCTCCCCGGGGCAGCAGGCCACGCTCAGCGGCATCTATCGCTACATCATGGGCCGCTTCGCCTTCTACCGCCACAACCGGCCCGGCTGGCAGAACAGCATTCGCCACAACCTGTCACTCAACGAGTGCTTTGTCAAGGTGCCCCGTGACGACCGCAAGCCAGGCAAGGGCAGCTACTGGGCACTGGACCCCGACTGTCACGACATGTTCGAGCACGGCAGCTTCCTGCGCCGACGCCGACGCTTCACCCGGCGAGCAGGTGCCCAGGGCGCCACGGGCCTGGCCAAGGCACGCCGAGGGCCCCTCAGAGCCACCAGCCAGGAGGACCCCGGAGTCCCCGATACCACGACGGGCAGGCAGTGCCCGTTCCTGCCGGAGCTGCCAGAGCCCAAAAGCCTAACCTTTGGGGGGCTGGTGGGGACCTTGCCAGCCAGCATGTGCCCGGCCACCACTGAGGTCAGGCCCCGGCCATCTGCGGAGCCCAAAGAGATGCCCACACCCAAGCCTGCAGGCTCAGGGGAGCTCCCCATGGGCACCTCATCTTCCTCGTGCCCGGCCTTCGGCTTTCCTGCCAGCTTCTCGGAGGCTGAGGGTTTTAGCAAGGCCCCTACGCCCATCCTGACCCCCGAGGCGGGCCTTGGGAGCAGTTACCAGTGCCGGCTGCAGGCCCTGAATTTCTGCATGGGCACCGACCCCGGCCTGGAGCACCTCTTGGCCTCAGCAGCGCCCTCCCCGGCGCCTCCCACCCCTCCCGCTTCACTGCGGGCCCCGCTGCCCCTGACAGCCGATCCCAAGGAGCCCTGGGCTGCAGGCAGCTTCCCTGTCCAGGGAGGCTCTGGCTTCCCGTTGGGGCTGACCCCCTGCCTATACCGGACACCAGGAATGTTCTTCTTTGAGTGAAGCCGGCCTGGCCTTGGGCAGTCCCTGCCACTCCGCCCTCCAGGCTGAGCCTGGCTGTCGGATCGGGGAGCTCTCAAAGGACCCAGGGCTGGCAAGGCAACGACAACTGCGACAGGAAGCCAAGATGGGAGTGTGAACACTCAACCCGCCCCCAGGACCTCCGGACAGACTGGGGGGAGGGGAAGCAGAGCCCCCGTAAGGTGTCCTCTGTGGCTCTCAGCCAATAAAGCCAGTTGATGATGAGGGTCAGCTTGCTGGATGGTTGGGGGCTAAGGTCTGTGTGGGGTGGCTGTGGGGTGGGGTTGTGTGGCAGGTGAGAGACCCGGGTGGACATACTCCACATGAGGACTTCTGCTGGGGACTTTCTCGGGGAGTTTCCCAGGCAGGCAGAGGAAGGGGGAGCAGGGAATGGGGTAGAGAGAGGAGGGAGGCAACCATGAGAGACAGCAGGCAGGGAGTGAGGCTGGCCTGGCCTGAGGAACTGGCTCTCCAATCCCAAACTCTGTGACTCAGCTGCACCCATCACGATGGGTCAGGATCACTGTGACCATTCGTGACATCTACTCCATCCCAGCAGCTATCCTCTCGCCAATCCTGTGTGGTATGGGGTGACATCCTCATTTGACATGGAGGAGTCGCAGGCTTGGAGAGTTTGGGGTCCTAGCTTCGACTCCAGATGGCACCGGAGTGGCAGAGAGGAAATGGAAACTGGGTCTGTGTCCGCCCCAGGCCTGGCCTGCAGCGTGAGAGGACGCAGGGTGCCACGCTGGGGAGAAGCAGAGCTGGTGGTGTCCGGGACGGAGCTCACGGGGCTGGAGGGCAGCAGGGTTCAAATGCCTGTGGTAAAAGGGCACCGCTTATCCCTCTCAAGGCTCAGAGGCAGGCACCAGTCCCCCCTCTGGATTTCCTGCCAGAAGGGGGGCTCCTGGGTCCCAGCTCTCTGAGCTCTCCTGGTGACTTCCCTCATGGGGCAAGGGGAGCGGCTGTCCCGGGTACGGCCCAGAAGTGACAGAGCCCTGGCCTTTGGCCTTCTCTGGCTGCCCCCTTGGGGAAGCAGGAGAAATGGGTGTATTGTGCCCCCATCAGAGGAAGGACTGAGGGTGTGGAAGCTCACTGTTCCCACACTCCCTCATGTCAGAGTGGCTGAGGCTTCCTTCCAGAGCCTCAGTTTCCCCATCTGGATCACGGGTGTAGGGAGAGAAGGGCCAGGACACGGAGGAACCCCCTTTCCCGTCTTCGGTGTAGTGGTCTGGAGGGTCTTACAGCCCCCAAGGTGACACCCAGGGGGCTGGAGACCCCTTCCTTGGGCGGGCAGTCCAGGCCCCTGCAGAGGCGCTTCCTGGGCAGGCAGCCACCCGCCTTCAGTCTCTGCTGCTCCCTCCTCCCTCAGCAGGTCCCCTGGGGCTTGGGAGGAAGCGAGCCCGGCTGGACAGCCCCAACTGTCTGGTTCCCACAGACTCCAGGGCCAGGGTGGAAAGGGGTCCTGCAGGGTGGGGGCGAACTGAGGCCGGAAGGGGTTGAGTGAGTGCCTGGCCAGCTGTGGGGGCCCTCCCTTCCATGTCTGCTGGACCCCAGCCTGGAACCCATCAAGCGATGGGGAGAAGGAGAGAGGGTCGAGCCTGTCCCGTTCGGGCAGCCTCAGGGCTGAAAGGGGAGGAGAGAAAGGCCCTGTGTGTGGGGACATGGATGAGGAGAGGGGCAGGAGGCTCTTGTGTGGGTCCGTAGGTGGTGTGTGCCTGTGTAGGCCAGTATGTCTCAAAGCGTGTGTGTGTGTGTGTGTGTGTGTGTGTGTGTGTGTGTGTGTGTGATGCACAGAGACAGTTACAAGACAAGGACAAGCAGATTCAGGGAAGGAGGCCTCGGCCAGGCACTGTTCCCTGTGGTGCATTCCTCTGGAGACCTGGTGACCCCAGTTCCTTCCCAGCCTGAGTCCTGAGCTCGTAGGAGGATGGGGAGGCTGGCCTGCCTCAGGGAGCCCCTGCCTCTGCATCCTTCCCAGCCCTCCCCTGAGGAGGTTTGGCTTCTGAACTGAGGGTGGGGGCTTGGGAGAAGAATGCTGAATTCCCTCCCCCCCCCACCCTTTGCCCTGGGGACACCCACACCCAGGAGCACGGACTCAGCTCTGGGCATGAGCCCCCTCTCCACGTCCCTCTCTGGCTCCCAACATAGCCAAGAAGTGAAGACAGGCCCCCCTCAGTCCCAGTCCCCAGCAGGACCCTGGGCTCAGTGCCTGCCTTGGACTCGCTGTGTGAGACTGGACCAGTGCCCACCTCTCTGGCCCTGATTTCATTCCCTTTGCCCCAGGGGGTTGGGGAAGCAGGGAAGCAGGGAAACAGCCTGACTTTTTGAGTCTGTGTCCCAGAGGAGGGTATGACCTGGGGGGTGGCCTGGAGGGGCTCTCATCCCCCAAGGTGCTGGCCCAGAAGCCCAGAAGCCCAGACATCATGATCTCACGTTGCCCTCTGCTTGCTGCCCAGCCTGGGGACCCCACCCACTGGGCCTTCTGCCCTCACATTCTTTCCATGACCAACAGACACCCTCTGGCTCCTGCCTGGCCACCCCCACCTGGGGGTAGACAGTTCTTAGCAGAGATTCAGAATGCCCAAGCTGGGCGGACCAGAGAGTGCGCCTCAGCATAGATGACGAGACCCGACAGAGAAGGGAAGTGACATTCCCAAGGCCACGCAGCAGGGCCTTCTGTACCCACCCATGGCTCCCCTCTGCTGCTGTAAGCTGTTTTGGGATAAGGGCCATCCCATCTGACTGCTTCAAGGACCCTCTCCACTGCGGACTTGTCTGAACCAGGAGGAGGTCACAGCCCCCACTCCTCCTCGAAGGGTAGGGCAAAAGGGTCCTGAGTCACCTTGCTAAGTCCAAACTGAAAACGGTAAAACCAGTGGTATTTCAGGATGTTCCAGAGTGTTTAATCACAGCAGCTCGGATTCTTGGAATATCAGAGTTGAAAGGGCGTCTCCCGCTTAATTTCTGAATCCTCTCTGCACCAAGTAGTGCATACCACGCGGGGTTCCAGGAAAAGGGAGCCCCTGACTTCAGAGGCACCCGCACCCTTTGGCAGCTCCAAAGGACTGTCAGGAAGTTCTTCACCTGCTGGTCCATTGGGCTCTGCTCTCCCTGCCCCCAAGGCGGCCACCCCCACCCACAGGGCCGGGCCTTCCTCAGCAGCTCCTCCGCCCTCCACATCTTATCTCCCCTCCTGCTCTCCCGCCCACGTTTCCTTCCCTGGTTTCTGGCATTCCATTGCCCAGAGTTCACACTCCTTCCCACACCCCAGGCAGCCCCTGGGCCAGGGGTGGGGAGACCTTCTCCCTTGGAGGGCGGGTGCTCAGACACCACCAAGTGATGAGGAAGAAGGAAGGGGGAGGCCATGGCAGCCAGCCTGGCATGTCTGCCTGTTGGGAGTGTACAGAACCCAGGAATCCAAGCCTCAGCCAAAACATCTCCTCCCCACACGGGCTCCCATCTCCCCAAGAGCTAAGCTGCCAGAAGCAGTAGGTGCAACAGCTAAGAGCAGGAGCTCTGGGAGCCCAATTGCCTGAGTTCAGATCTGAGCTGTCAATTCCTAGCTGTGTGACCTTGGGCAAGTTGCTTTACCTTTCTGTGTGTTTCTGTGTTTATCTATAAAACTAGAGGCCCAGTGCATGAAATTCATGCACTGGGGGAGGGGGTGTCCCTCAGCCTGGCCTGCACCCTTTCGCAGTCCAAGACCCCTCAGGGGATGTCCGACTGCCGGCTTAGGATCTCCTAAGCCGGCAGTCGGACATCCCTCTCGCAGTCTGGGACCCCTCACTCCTTACCACCCACCTGCTCGCTGCTCCTTCCTGCTCAGCTCGCTGTTCCTTAGCACTGCCACAGAGGTGGGAAAGGCTCCCGCCACCACCACTGCGCTCGCCAGTCATGAGCCCGGCTTCTGGCTGAATGGCACTCCCACTGTGGGAGTGTTGAGTGTCTGCCCCCTGGTGGTCAGTGCACATCATAGCAACCGGTCATTCCACTATTCAGTCGATTTGCATATTAGGGTTTTATTATATAGGATGTGGACATTAACAGTACCTACCCCCATGGGGTTGTTGTGAGCATTACATGAGCTAATATTTGCAAAGTGCTTAGGATAGAGTCTAGCACATGGAAGCTGCAATATAGTTGTTAAGTACAATAAATAAATATTTGGGCCTGGGGCATGTCCCCTTAAACTGATTTACCCCCAAGGAAAGGCCACGCTGCTGTGGAGGTGGGAAGATGCAGGGGAGGAAAGACTGTGATGCAGACAAGGCTTTGGATTTAACTCCTGGCACCTCGTCCTCCTGGCTGTGTGACCTCGAGCGTGTGGATTCACCTTTCTGAGCTCCAGTTTCTTCATCTGTTAAATGGGGATAATGATTCCAATTCCCAGGACTGGTATGTGGGAAACCCGCACAATGTGTGCACCATTCAGTCCATGAGAATAAAGCTGGACCATAAACCAGCCCCCTGGAAGGTCTTGTAACCTCAGCGCCATGGCAGAACTTCCCTCCCAGCAGGTCTGGAGGTGCCTGGCCCCCTGTTCCTACTGGTAATTGGCTGGTGATGCAAAGAGGCAGCTGGTAGGGCTGACGGAAGCAGTTCCAGGCCAAAAGCAGGCCAGAGTCAGCCAGAACCCTGCCTGGTGTTCCCTGGAAAGGCCAGGCCCCCTGCTCCAGTCCTCGGGGTGCACCTGTCTCTCGGATACAAAGAGAGTCTGATCCTCCTGCTCCAGGTGAAGACAGCGGTTCCCTGGTGGGTGTCTTTCTCACCTCCAGGCCTTCGCACTCGCTGTCCCCCCACCTGGAATGCTCACTCCCCACTGGCGGACTCCTGCACATCCAGAGCCCAAGTTAAATCTCCCTCCTCAGAGAAGCCCCCTCCCCTGGGTCTGAGGAGACGCCCCCAGACCATTTTCTTCCTCTGCACCCTATCTGTTTCCTCCGCTGCATGTGGAAGTATGCATTTCTGGTGTATTCACTTTTATCGTGTTTCTCCTTAGAATGTAAGCTTCAAGAGGCAGGGGTCCGGTCTGCCTTAATCACTGTATCCACTTCCTTAACCCAGTGACCAGCACAGAGCAGGCCCTCAATAAAGGTTTGCAGAGTGGACAAGTGGAGTGGTGGTCAGCCATTCATCCATTTGCCGTGGATTAAATCTCAGAGGGCTCCCTGGCCTCCTCAGAGCAAAAGCCCAAGTCCTCAGGAGCCCGTGTGACCTGGATCTCCTCCTCTTGCCCTCCCCTTACTCCACACACCTTCACCCTTGCTCTTCCTTCTTCCTGGAACAGCCTTGCAGGAACCCCTCAGGACTCATGTCCTCAGAGAAGCCCTCTCTGAGGGCCATATCCCCACCCACCCCACCAACACCTTCTAAATTCATTCCTGCCCTTCAGACTTCTCCTGCTAGAACGAAGTTTCACGAGGCCGGAGATTTTTGTCAATGGGCTGCTGGTCCCCAGAACCTAGAACAGCGTCTGGAACGTAACAGGAGCTGGAGAAGCAGTTGTGGGACGAGGATGTCAGCAGCCTATGCCGCTCTCCACATCTCTTGTGACTTTTATACTGGCCCTGGGAGGAAGGTGCTATTATCACCCCGTTTCACAGACGGGACTCTGAGGCTCAGAGAAGGCAAATAAATAGATTGGAACCCCGTCTGTCTGAACGGCACCCAGTCTCTGCCGCCAGCCTGTCTCCCGAGAAGTGTATGAGATCCGTGTCTCCCGCCTCCTGTTCCCACATTCTCACAGCCCCTCAGGCAGACATGGCTCAGCCTCTCTCTGGTCTCCCTGTCTCCAATCCCTCTCCCACTCACTGACCTCCCTGGCTGCAGAGGCCCTTCGGAACCACAGATCTGACATGTCCCTTCTTTGCCTAAAACCCTTCCATGGCTCCCTATTGCCCCGATCCAGGCTGGCATTGGAGGCTGCCAACTTCTCCAGACTCATCTCCTGCTTCATCAGATGCAAGAGCCTTACTGAAACGCTCCCAGACAAGCTTGCTCTCAGCTCCAAGTCTATGGACATGTGACCCCTCTGCCTGGAACGCCCTCTTCCCTGGATCTGGAAAAACCCTGCTCCTTTTTGCCCTCGGCTTGGCTGTCACTTTCACTGGAGAGAAAATAGGGGTTAGTGTCTTCTTCCACATCCTTCCCGCTCCACTGTCATCCCCAGCCTCCTACCCACGGGGGTCCCAGAGGTTGTGAACTCCCCAAGCGCAGGGACCATGACTAATTCTTCACCAGGCTCTAGACTGAGGCCAGGCCCAGAGCAGGGACTCAGCAATTAGCCGTGAGGTGACTGGATGTGTCGGAAGGCTGACTGCTGGCTTTGCATCCTGATTCCACTATGTACTGACTGGGAGCCCATGGACTTGTCCATCAACTCCCCCTGTGCCTCAGTTTCCTCATCTGTGCAAAGCTGGTCATGAAAATGCCCACTCGTAGTGTGGGGTTGAAATGAGCTCATACGTGGAATCGCTTGGTGCGGTGCCTGGTGCTCAGTAAAGACGCCCGTTAGAGTGCAGGAAGAAACAGGCGGTGGGCAGCTGTGCGCGTGGGAGCGTGGTCCAGGCGGGCACCTCCTTCAGGACAGCCCTGGCTGCTTCACTCGCTCGAGGCAGCCCTGCCACTGGCTGAATCTTTTCCCACCGCTGCCCTGTTGGGGCCAAGGTGGCCAGTGGAATTTGAGGCCAGTGGACACAGACAGGAAAAGGCGGCGTCACCAGCCTTGGTGTAATCCAAACCAGATGCAGCCTCAGACCCGTGGGGTGGTCACTGTGGGCTTGGCCAAGGCCCAGAGGCAGGAAACAGTCTTGGAGGAACAGCTCTCTGGGCTGGGACCAGCCAGGAGGCGCGGTCCCATTGAGGCTGTTAACCCTTCTGAGCCCACAGAGGGGGCCAGAGCACGGGGCAGAGGAAGCTGGTGGTTCAGGCCCCATGAGGCACAGAGCACCTTGCAGGGAAGGTCACAGCATCAGCCTTGTGCTGGGCACCATGCAGGAGGCGCCCACACACCAGGCACCATGGCGGGCAGGGCACCCCAAGCAAGGGGCAGGGGACAGTCATAGCCTAGCACTTGGGACTTGCAGACCCAAAGCTTTGGCCCTGGCCTGGCCCCAGCTGGCAGGCCCAAACCAGCTGAGGGTTCATTCCCTCCATAAAGTGGCTCCTCGGGGGAAAAAGCTGCTCCCACCTCCCCGAGGCTGCTGGGATGGGGCTCCCACTTCCCCCGAGGCTGCTGGGATGGGGGCTCCCACCACCCCCCCAAGGCTGCTGGGATGGGGCTCCCACCTCCCCCGAGGCTGCTGGGATGGGGACTCCAGTGCCGGGTGCCGGGGCCAGGCCTGCAGAGAGGCAGAGACTAGGTCCTATGTTAGGGGCTGCCACCCCAGCTTTTTCCTGGGTGTGCTCTGTGGCCTGGAAGGAGCAAAATCTCTCTGAATCCCCATTTCCCTATCTATATTGCTACCTCCAGGCACCAGGGGAGGCCCAAAGGAGGTACCTAATGAATGAAAAAGAGCTTCCTAAGATGTCCTCCCGGGAAGGGATGGGGACGGAGGCGGCGATCAGCCTGTTCCATGCGTCTGGGTGGGCTTCTGGCCCAGGATCTACCAACTTGCTATGTGACCTTGATCCAGTCACTTTCCCTCCCTGAACCTGTGAAATACAGTGAGCGAGCACCAGCCCCCTATTTGATTGTCACCGTGGCCCTAGGAATGGCAGAGGAGAGCAGAGCTGAGGGTTTCATATGAGGAAGGAGGAGAGTGAGGCTTGTGCTGGGAGCCAGGGGTCCTGGGCTCTCGGTCCAGCTGTTGCTGTCTCTGCTGAGGAGCCTTCCTCGTTTTGGCCTCGGTTTCCACAGCTGGGCCCAGGCCCTACATCCCTGCGGTCACTGGACCTCATTCCTCCTCCCGCCAGCCCACAGCAGTGACTCATCCCTCATCATCACGCTGTGTGGCCAGAGCTCGGCCTGGGTGGGGGCCAGCGAGGCTGAGAACTCAGAGGAAGCCACAGGCCCGGCCCAGCTGGCAGGTGGCAGGTGGGCAGACAGCAGGGATCCTCAGCCATGGGGGCCCTGCCCTTAAGCTCATCTCCCACCAAGAGCCCAAGCTAAGCTCCCAGCCCCTCCGAGCCCTGACTAACCACCCACCAGGCTCAGACCCCAGAGTCACCCACTCCGTGTGGCACCTGCTGCAGCAGGACTCTGCACCCACTGCTGGAAGAGGGCAGGGGTGGCGGTGAGGACCCTGGCCTCACCCATGGGGTGGTCACTGTGGGCTTGGCCAAGGCCCAGAGGCAGGGGACCAGCGTTCATCACAGAGGCAGGGGCGGGAGGGGATGAACTGTCATGGTCTCGGTCTGTGGGCAAGGCCAAGCTTCTCCGGAGGCCGGCAGCGCAGCAGTTAAGGGCATGGGCTCTGGGCCCAGATTGGGTACAAATCCTGGCTCTGCCACTGACCAGCTGTAGGACCCTGAGCAAGTGGCCTATCCTCCCTGAGGCTTGGCTTTCCCTTCTGAGAAACAGACACAACACAACGCCGGCCACGCAGCGCCGCCGTGAGCAGTGGATGCGATCATGAGCACAGAGCTGGGCCAGGTCCAGAAGATGTGCCAAGTACGGGAACTGCTGTCACTGCCATTCCCGCTGGGGCCCAGAGCTATGCCTCCAGCAGGTGGACCAGCTGCCCTCCTTAGGTCAGTCCCACTGCTGACCAATGTCCTCACAACCAGAAAGGCTGCACCCTTCTGGGGTTAAGCTCTCCTGCCACCCCACCCCCAGCAGCTGGGCCCCTCCTCTGCACTGCAGGCCTGCGGTGAGGCAGGTTGGGGTCCAGCAGAGAACAGCTCTCTCCCGAGGCCTCCTGGGAGACCCCCCTCCCTGCAGGCCCAGCGAAGGCTCTGCTCTCTGCTGACGCCTTGCTCTGGTGAGAAGCAGGGTGGGCGCAGAGCAGAACCCTGAGCTGGGAGACAGAGAGTTCATGTCAAGGCCCAGCTTCTGACTTGTTGAGTATTCTTCAAGTTTCCTCCCCTCTATGAGCCTCAGTGTCCCCCTCGGTAATAGGAATAGGAATAATCTCTACCACCTAACCTTTCTGAGAAGAGTAAATGAGCTAATACACATACACGTGCTTAGATAGAGCCTGGCACACAGTAGTCACCCAGTAAGTGTTAGCGGGTGCTGTGACCTCCCTCTCACAGATGAGGAAACTGAGGCACAACGTAGGGAAGCCACTGGCCCAGATTATGCACTGGGCAGTGTGGCTCCTGAGGCTGCACCGGCAACGACTACACTGGGAACCAACACGTCGCTAACTGGCTGGCATGCAGCAGTTCTCATTGAATGGGGGTCGCCTGTGACTTCATCTGAATGAATGCAGAGAGAAGGAGGCCACATCCAACCTGTACATTTATTTACAAGGCACAAGCTGAGAGCAGGTTGGGGGCTGCCCACGGCCTTTGCACTCCATCCTCCGGGGCCTGCTGACTCCATCATCTGAGGCCCACGTGGCAGGGATGGGGGCCCACAGTGGCTGGGTTGAGCCAGCGAGGCCCTCAGGCAAGTTTTGGGGTGGTCTTCGGTGTCCCCCAGGCCCCTCCCTGCCCCCTCCGCCAGGCCTGGGCTGGGCATCCTCTCTCTCACTCAGAGTTCCTGTGTGTTGGTGGTCAGCAAGGAAGGTGGGTGGGAGCTGGAGCTGGCCAGATGGTGTGCGCTGGGCCTTATCTGTTGGGTGTAGGGAGGCAGGCGTGGCGTGAAGCTCCTCTTTCACAAAGCCGGCTCTGTCTCCCGGCAGCTGGCCTCAGGGCTCGACTTGGTTGCCTTCCTGCCCCACCAAGAGCCTCCCACCCACAACCGCGGGAGCCCCACATGCTGGGACCCCAGCCTTCCCACTTCAGCTGAGAGCAAGCTCAGGCCAGGGATGCCCGGGCGGGGCCAAGCAGGGTCACCAGGCAACAGTTCCAAAGGGGGAGCCAGGGAAGGAACAAGGGGCCTGTGGCATCTGGGCGGCAGCCGATGGGCCGGAGCCCGTCTGGGGAGGCGTTAGCAGGATGGATCCAGGCCACATCCGAGGCAGCTCTCATCGGGCAGCGGTCGCCGTGTGGGGGCGTGGGGAGCCCCGAGCCTCCCGGCCTGGCGCAGCCTTGTCCTGCCCAGCCCACCCTGGGGTCTGGCCCTCTGCCCTGGCCTTCTGGGCTGTGAGGCCTCAGCCCCGGCCACCGTGGAGCTGCATCCAGGCCTCCGCCGCTTCTGGGGCTCAGACCCCCAGAGCCATCAGTGCCCCTGAGCTGCTGATCTTCTTGAAGCGATTGGCAGCGCTGACAGCAATGAAGTTTTTCTGGGGGAGGGTGGAGAGGGGTCCCAGTCAGCACCGGGGCAGCTGAGTGTCTCCTAACGTCCCCTTTATTGCAGGAGGGCCAGATGCCAGGGAGGGTGCAGTGCTCAAAATGGCCACAGGAGGCGCCATGACTGCATCCTCCAGGATTCCTTCCTTCCACAGGTTTGTCAGCCAGACTAGCGCTCTGTCAAGGTGCTCCAAGTAAAAGACGAACCCCTCGCCATGGCCAATGAGTCCCTCCACACCCCGCCTCCCGCTCCTCTCTGCGCTCACTCCCCCACCCCTTTGACTCTTCATCAGTCCTGGTTTCCTACCTGCTCCTCACACTCGCCAGCCATGCTTCTGCCTCAGGGCCTTTGCACTGGCTGTTCCCTCTGCCTGGGACACGCTCACCCCTCACCCCCTTCAGGTCTTTGTTCACATTCTCCCTCTCAGTGAGTCCTCCCCGAGCACCTATTTAGAAGTGCGACCTCTCCTCTCCTGAGTTCTTTCCAGAGCCCGTCCTTAACCCTTCTCCTATCTCCCAACACCCCACCACCACCAGAAAGTCCACAAAGACTGAAATCCCGGTGTCTTACCCACTGTGTGTCCCCAGTGCCTAGAGGTAGTAGAAGCTCAATAAATATTTGAAAAAGGAAGGAAGGAAGCCTGTGATGAGGTCAGAGACCTTGTCCTGACCCTGAGCCCCAGATGGACCCCCTCCTCAGGGTGGAGGGGGTGGGTGGAAGGTCAAGAGCCAGCCCAGGACAAAGAGGAAAGCCAACCCTGTTTTCCAGACAGGGCCAGGCCCGGTGGGCGGAACCTGCCAAGGCAGGGCTGCTGGGGCCCCGAATCTGGTGCCAGGAGCTCTTCCCGCCTTGCAGCCCCTCCCTTCACCCACCCCCAGCCCAGTGGTACCTTCCAGCGTCTCTTCATGAGGTATTTCTTAAGCAAGATCTGGGACTTGAGGCGTCGATTACAGCGCTTGGCTTTCTCTGCCAGGTTGTTGAGCCAGGGGTGGGCGAGGCACTGGGCAGCGCTCATGCGGGCCCTGTGGGGAAGGGGCGGCGTGGAGAGGGTGGGTGGTGTGCCCACAGGCGCTGGAGCCCAGCCGGCCTTCCAACCAGTTCCCACCCAGCCTGCACACGCATGCACTGGGCTCGCACAGTAGGGTTCGGGCTCGTGTCCTGTGGTGAGCCTCACCCTTGTTCCTTGACGATGAGGTGGGAGACAAAGTCTTTGGCCTCATCTGACACAGCCTCGAAGGTCTCCTCGTCAAAGTACCAGTTGGCAGCTAGGACATTGTTTAGGGTCTCTGTGTCATCATCTCCCAGGAAGGGGGAGAGGCCGCTCAGCCTGGAGGGAGGGGATGGTGGAGGGCAGCGAGGTGAGACTAGAGATGCTAAGTCACCTTGGAGGGTTTGGGGGATGGGGATAGATCCTAGGAGGCAGCACCAGATGCTGAAAAGACCCCCAGCCTCTCACGGGGGACAGACCTGAGTTTGAATCTGGCCTGGGTGACCTTGGGCAAGTCACTTCCCCTCTCTGAGCCTCACTCTTCTCATCTGTAAAATGGGCATAATCATCCCAGCTTCCCAGGGTTACAGTAAAGAAGAGGAATGGGGAGTGCACAAAAATGTCCACCACCCCTGTGCCCCCACCCGGGGTCATCAGAGATCTGCGGTCCAGAGCCCTGGGCTGGGATGCTACACCTTTAGGGGCCTTGGTTTCTCCATTTGTAAAATGGGTACAAAGTTCCCCATTCCTCATTCTCCCTAACACTCCCAACACCCAGCAAAAGCCTGACTGAGTGAATGAGTGAGGTGAGACCACCTCACCAGGACCCCAAGGCCAGTCTTGGCCTCAGCTGCCCACACAGGCGCCCCAACCCCAGGAACACCACGCTCCCTTGGGGCTCACAGCATGTAGGTGATGACCCCCATACTCCACATGTCTGTCTTGTCGGAGATTTGGTCGTAATTCACCACCTCAGGAGACAGGAACTCTGGGGTCCCAAAATTCACCTTCATCTTCTCCTTGGGGTTATACCTGGGGGTGAGACCAAATGCTCAGAGCACAGCCCATTGCCAGGCACCCTGGACCTCTCCCTCGCCCTCTGCCCTCCTCAGAGGCTGGCCCTGGCCTCCCCCCAAGGTGGTACCTCCGTGCCAGGCCGAAGTCAATGATCTTCACCAAATGGCCGGTGTTGTTGACACACAGGATGTTCTCTGGCTGAGGAGAAGGGGTGGCCCGGATTGGCCTCTGACCCGGCTCACCCTCCCTCTCCGTTCAAGTCCACCCGAGTCCCAGGTCCAGCCAGAGGCCCAGGCTGCCAGAGTTAGCAGCCCATCCAAGACCCCAGACCCGCCTGCTCCAGCTCAGACGTGGGACCTGAGCCCAAGAGGGATTGGGAGGAGGCCTCGCAGCACCAGGCTTCTGGGTGGGTTCAGACGGCACTTCCCCTCATCTCAGGCCATGAAAGAACAGGTTCTAGCAGTTCTGAGGATGGAGTGGCTCTGTGCCCTGGTGAGAGGCTAGTGCAGGGCCACCGCCAGGTACGTGGGGCTCCAGGGACCAGAGAAAGAAAACACTAGCTCAGGGCCCTCAGAAGAAGCCTCTTGGTACGGAGGGCTTCGCGCTGCCCCTGGCATGCTCTAGGGGGGCTACTCTTGTCTCCCAGTTAGGGATGATGACAACACCTACAAACGTCCGGCCTAGCTCCTCAATCCTCCCAGCAGCTCTGAGGCAGAGACTGTCACTTTCCGTCCCCATTTCACAGCTGAGAAAACTGAGGCTCAGACACAGAAGTGACTTGGCTACAGTCACCCAACAAGTGCGCTGGTCTTTTGATATCAATCTGCCTGCCGCCAGCCAGCAAAGACCCACAGTGCACGCTACAGGGCAGGGGCCGGGCACACAGCGTGCCTTCCGTCTTCTCTCGGCCCCTTTGCTCCCCTCCCTCAGTATGGAACAAAGACACCCATCGGTGCTCAGCCATGGCTCCCAGGATCCTATGTGAGTGAAGCTACTGCAAGGCTAGTCCCTCCCCACTCTGGGTCTCCATATAACACAAGGACACTACCAGTTGATCATAAAATCTATCGTTTCCCCCAACCTGCTATCTACAAGGACTGAGCAAGGTCGGAAGAGGGATATCAATAGTCTTCCATTAAACATTTTTGTTAGCACCTACTGTGTGTGTATTGCTGCACTGACGCTACACTGACTGATCTGTGTTTCTGACTCCCCTCCTGGAATTTTGTCTGTTTTGTTCACCCCTGGATCTCCACCTGCTGGGCCACTGTCTGGCGTGGAGTTAGGCCCTCAACAAGTATTTGTTGACTAAATAAACAAACACCTGCAGTGTCTTTCAGGGCCCAGCACAGAAGTAAGTGCTTTTGCAACACTTATCAGTAAGTTCTTTGTGGGAGGCACTGTGCTTGGGGATCACAGGGCTGCAAAAGTATCTAGTATTAGATGCTAGAACAGCCGTGGGCGAACTACGGCCTACGGGCCGGATCTGGCCCGTTTGAAATGAATAAAACTAAAAAAAAAAAAAGACCGTACCCTTTTATGTAATGATGTTTACTTTGAATTTATATTAGTTCACACAAACACTCCATCCATGCTTTTGTTCCGGCCCTCCGGTCCAGTTTAAAAACCCATTGTGGCCCTCGAGTCAAAAAGTTTGCCCATCCCTGTCCTAGAAGCTCCTAAGAGCTAGGACCAAGTCTTTCGCTTTGTTTTCTGCCTCATTCTTTATTTCTGGTATTTAGTAAGTGCTCAGTAAACCCTTTTTGAGTCTACAGGTGGGAGGGAGAGAAAAAGGGATGGTGGCTGGTTGCAACGCTGATTTCAAGTGGTCAGATGCTGCTACCGACCCCTCCCAGGAGGCCCAGCCCCAGTACCTTGAGGTCCAGATGCAGAACCTGCATCTCGTGCATGAAGAGGATCCCGTCGCAGATCTGCCTGACAAACACCATGGTGTCCACCTCGGTCAGCTGGTAGTCCTCGTCCACGATCCTCTCGAAGAGCTCGCCGCCCTCGATGCTGCGTGCACAGACCCCTCTACAGGCTGCTTCTGGGCCCGCGGCACCCCCCGCCCCTCCCCCACTGCTGGCACTCACTACTCCAAGAACAGGATGATGTCATGTGGGGTCTCGATGGCTGCGTAGAGCTGGATCAGATTGCGGTGGTTGAGCTGGTTCATAACCTCGATCTCAAGCATCACCATTTCCTGGGGACCAGGGAAGTCGGGGACCATCCAAGTGTCATCACTCCCTGCCCTCCACCCTCCAGACTTGCACCCTGACGGGAACCTGGCCTGGACCACTGCCCAGCCTCCTCCTCACTGGCCTTCTTGCCTGTGTCCTCACCAGCCGGGTCCTTCCTGCTGGGACACCATTCCTTTGCAGTTCTTCCTCGCCTCCTGGCAGAATACTGGGAACCCAAGGGCCCAGACCTCCCCGCTCATCACTCCCCTCCCTACACTCTCTCCCTGGGCATTCTCCTCACGCCCCATGACTAGATAACTCCACCCGAATGTGAGCAATCTCCAAATACATATCTCCACCTCTGAGCACTCCCTTGAACTCAACATACCCCTTTCTCCAGCTGCCCAGCTGCCATTTCCCTTGGATGTCTAGAGGCATCTCAGCTCTGTCCAGTCCAAAATGAAACCCTTGACACCACCCCTTCCCCACATTTGAGCTTGTCCATTAGCAATAGGACATCGCTCTTCACCCAGGTGTGCAGGACTACAAGTTAGGAGCAATCCCAGCTTCTTCTCTTAATCTTGCTTCCTCACACCCCATATCCAATCCGTGAGTAGATCTTCTGACTCTACCTTCAAACTAGATTACAAATCCAATGACTTCTCACCTCCTCCACCACTGCCTTCCTAGCCTAAGCCACCATTATCTGTCACTTTGAGAAAGTTTGCAAGCCAGTTGTCACGTTGGTAGTTTGAAATCAGTTATGGTAGAAATATTTACACCATGGAAATTGGCAAATGCCACAAATCAGGCCTCTCCTTGAACTTTCCCCCCCCAGGACATCGTATCTCTACCTGAATCACTTCAGCTCTCTCATTCCACTCCTCCATTCGTGTCTCACCTTACACACACTCCTCAGAGAGGCCTAACCTCGCCCCCCTCTCTCTGCACACCCCCTCACAGCTCCGCACTCCCTGTTTCTTACCTGCCTTTGTTTTTCTTCCTAGCACTTCTCAGTTCCTGGCACCAGGGTTTTTGTTGCATTTTGCTTTTTAGTTGTCTGTTTCTCTTCTCTAGCATGTCAACCCATAAGGGCAGGGACTCTTTGAGTTCACTGCCATTTCCTTTGCACATTGAATGGCACACCAAAAATTGCTTGGGACTTAATTAATCCATAGCTGCCTCCAGTGAATGTATGCAGCACACATGGATTGAGCATCTACACTGAGCCAGGCCCATGATAGAGGCCTGGGGACCCAGCCGTCAATAACATGGATCCAGGCCCTGTCAAGTGGAAGAGGCAGAAAAAGACAGAGTCACGTAGAAAATACATGCCTCCCCCGTGTGCTTAGAGCTACGACAGGAGTTCCGGGCTCTCGGATCAGCTCCTCGTGCTCCTCCTGGGCTCCAGGCCTCTGTACGTGCTGTGGTCTCTGCCTGGATTCAATGCCCATGGCTCACTTCTCAGCTCCCTCTGCCTCGACTCAAGGGTCCCAGCAGTTCCCTGCTATTTCCAGCTCTCAGCCCTCTCTCCCCACAGTCCCTCCTTCTTCATAGTCTTCATGACAGCAGCCCAGGAAGGTTCCCTGACCCACAGGCTGAAACAGGAGCCTCCTCTGCCCTCTTCTCACTGCCGCCCTGCCCTAGCTTTCCCGGGTGACAGCTCTCACTACACCAGGTGGCTAGGTTGCCATCACCTCCTCACACACCGACTCCCTCGCTCCACGTGAGCCTTTGCCTGCATTCCTTCCTTCCTTGTTCCTTCCTCACTTGTTTCCCCTTCTTTCCTCCCTCCCTCCCTCCCTGCCTTCCTCCCTCCTCTCCTCCCTCCCGGCCTCCCTCCTTCTCCCTCCCTCCCTCCCTCCCTCCTTTTCTCCTTCTTCCCTTCCTCCCTTCCTCCCTTCCTCCCTTCCTCCCTTCCTCCCTTCCTCCCTTCCTTCCTTCCTTCCTCAGCAAGCCCTGCTCCCGGCCTCCTCTGAGCCAGGCCTGGGCTGGGTGCTGGAGGCAGAACTCTAGACCAGGCCTGTTCACTTTGGTGCTGCCTGAGGGCAGGGACCACATTCACTTCACTTCCAGACGCCCAGTGCCCAGCACAGGCCTGGCCCAGAGCCTGCACTTATCAGTGCTTGTTGAAGTGAACAAAACAGAAGGCATGAATATCCTGTGCCTAGAATGGGAAGTCCCGGGAGAAGTTCACTAACTGAGGTGTCTGGTTTCCGTTTAGGGTCATCAGGCCCCAGTGGGAGGGCTGTCTATCTGTCCATCTGGACAGACACATGGGTAGAGGGAGGTGAGAGGCCCCACACTCCAAAGATCCCGCCTCTCACATAACCAAGCCCCCACCCCCACTACCTTGTCTTTGGGTGTCTGCTTCTTGATGACCTTGGCTGCCAACTTGAGGCCGGTGGCTTTCTCTGTGCAGGTACAGACCGCTCCAAACTTGCCGCTGGAGAGAGACAAGGCTGGGAGTGACAGGGTTTCAGGGCCAAGGGCCGAGGGGGCCTGTGCTCTGTGCCCATCTGGATCCCCACCGTGAGATGGGGCCCTCGTCCCAGCCAGCCCTCACTGCCTCTTGAAGCTCTACTTCAGGGACAAATGGCTGAACCACACAAACCGCGGGCACAGGAAGGACAGGCTGATCCGCAGAGTGGTCCCTGAGGTGACAACCTGGAGCTCTGGGCCCCAGGGGAGGGAACCTTCAGGGCTTTTTACAAAGCAGGAGTCACCGGAGACCGACAGGAAACTACTGTCGCTCCTATAGGAAATACTGAATGGCCGACGATGTGTCTGTGTGAGTGACAGCTTGCACATGACAGGTGCAACCACCAGAAGCGATGTGTTCGCTGGGTCACGTCCAGTGGGGTGTGGCTGGGCCTTGCTCAGGGAAGATGCAAAGCCTCAGGGGCTTCGATGCTCTTCAGGGGCCCAGGTGCCCCCTCTTACCCGCCCAGTGTCTCCTTGGAGTTCATGCTGAATTGACTGTTGACATTCCCGGTCCTCAGCTCCACGATGCGGTGGGGGAAGGGGGCGGGAGGTGGCGGGCAATCGTCTGGAGGCAGAGCAGAGCCATCAGAGTCAGTGCCAGGGGCTGCTGAGGATCCACCGGGCACTCCACATCCCTCCCCAAAACTCCCTACTTCACCCCCCACCCCTCACCCCCACCCCACCCCTGCCTGGCCTGGGCGCATCCAGAGAAGTTCACTGAGTGCTACCTGGGGGACAGCTGGCTCCAGGACAGGGGCTAGGGGACTCGGTTTCCAATTTCAGCTCTGCCACCACCATACAAAATGGCCTTGGGAGGCCTCTGCCTCTGACAGAGGGAGGCTCACCTACTCCGGGCACCACCATGGGGATGGCCCATGAGACCCCTGGGACCCCCCCAAGCGACCTGCATCCCAAGCCATCTGCATTTCCATTGAAGAAAAAGGGGCCAGATAGGGGTTACTATGTCTGATGGGGGCAGTGATGGGATCTGCCCACCATCCCCTCAAATAGCACCACAGGCTGGCCAGGCCAGCGGAATGGGTGTCTAACCCGTGCTTGGCCCGGGGGTGGTGAGGGGTGGATGGGTGGGGGGGGAGGGGGGGGGCGGGGGAGGGAGTAGAGGCAGGGACAGAGTTTGTTAGGGAGAGGCTGCCACCTAGTGACAACGGTGAGCAGGGGCCCTGGCGGCGGCAGGCTGAACCATCGGGAATGGAAAGCTCTTTATAAATAGCAAGAGGCGGCAGGGAAGCCGGGCTGGTGATAAATCAAAGGCCTTGGAGGTGGTTCAGGTCCCGTCACCCTGAGGATGTGATTTCGGGGCGGGGCGGAGGTCTCTGCCCTATTCAGGAGGAGGCAGGGCTCCTGGCCGCCGCCCAGCCGCCAGGCCCTCCCACCCTGTCTGGGTGGCACTGTGCCGCTCACTAGGCAGGCTGGCGAGGCTCCCAGGGCGCCTCGGCCCGGGGGGAGGGTGTCAGGACACTCTGGGCTCTCCTGACCCCATCTCACCCCACCCCCAGCCCGCCGTACCCTGGCCCAAGCCTATTCCAGCCACCGGCCAAGCTCACGCATGCTCAGTGGCTCCCTGCCGCCGCTGACGAAGCCGGGGGCCCCTGGTGTGGTCACAGTTAAGGCCACGCCGGTCCTGCCCCATCTCACGTGCCGGCTTCCTTGGCCACAGCTTCCGCACAGACACCTGTGCTCCTCGGCGCATGAACCCGCCCCACCCCGTCCACGAAGTGGTTTAAGCACCAAAGTCTGGCGTTTTAGTCCTACAGACTGCCTTCCAATTCCACGGCCCAGGGAGCTGGTGCTGCTCCAATTACCTGCCTGACATTTTTCAAAGCCCATATTAGCCAAAGGAAAAGAAAGCCAAACGGAGCTCTGGCGTGAGGACGCCCCGAGAGGTGCAGGCCCTGTCCTCACTGTGGATTTGGGGGCACTCGTTCCATTTCCTGTTGCTGAGCCTCCAGTTCCCCATCCATCAGAAGGGTCTAGACCAGTGGTTCTCAACCTTCCTAAGGCCGGACCCTTTAATACAGTTCCTCATGTTGTGGTGACCCCCAACCATAAAATTATTTTCGTTGCTACTTCATAACTGTAATTTTGCTACTGTTATGAATCGTAATGTAAATATCTGATATGCAGGATGTATTTTCATTGTTACAAATTGAACATAATTAAAGCATAGTGATTAATCACAAAAACAATATGTAATTATATATGTGTTTTCCGATGGTCTTCGGCGACCCCTGTGAAAGGGTTGTTCGACCCCCAAAGGGGTCGCAACCCACAGGTTGGCGACCCACAGGTTGGCGACCCACAGGTTGAGAACCGCTGGTCTAGAAACTCATACTGCCTGGAGTTGTGTGGCACTCAGATGAATCAGCCTGGCTGAGACATGGCTCAGAGCAATTCAGTTCCTCTAAAGTGGGGAGACTTGGGGATCCCCATCCCCTTTTCCCTTGGGCCCCCAGGCAGCCCCAAGCCCACCCCTACCCCTGGCCTACCCAAAATCTGGAAGCAGTCCTCCTCCCTGGCTGTGAGACAGAGGGGCTGCCCCGCCTCCGACCTCTCCGGGGGCGCAGCCTGGAACTCGATCCCCCTCGAGGTGTCCCCTTCCACCTCAGCCGGGCCAGCCTGGCCGGAAGCCTTCTCTCCTGCTTCCTTCTGGCTGCCGCGCGGGCTATTTTCCCCTCCTGCTGCTGCTTTGGCTGGCACGGGATCTGTGGGGCTGGGGGTCACGGGCACCCCTTCAAAGATGAGCTCCAATGCCTCATTTGGGGGCTTCTCAGCCAGCGACTGCTCCGGGCTACAAGGTGAGAACACAGAGGTGATGCCCCATGTGGCCTCCGGCAGGTCTGCAGGCTTCCAAAGCCTCATCTGCTCTCTGGAGCCAATATAACCCTCCCCCAACCCCAAGTGCATGGAGTGATGCATCCCAAGTCACTTTATGCAAAATCAAGGGATGTTAATATTATCACAAATGACTGTGGTCATTACCTTGCCTATTAACACACTAATAGATAATAACTGACCATTAATAGGATTAGTGATATGAACAATCATTATATGGATATAATTAGGGAGGTAGCATAGCTTTTGATTCATAAAAACAGTGGCAATGCAATTGATGTTAATATGAAATTTAAGTTGATATGTATGGTGTTATTATTTATATTTATTGTGGTTTACAACATATCATTAATGACCTGGTTAATCTGATTAGCACTCAGGTAAGTGTAATTGATTACATCATAAGACTGATGCTTTATTATGAAAAGTATTAGTAAGTTAATGAAAGTGTTAGGAAGGACCTACCCATCTGTTATGAGTCAACTTTCCGTGTTATACTGATCATTATATTAAGAAGAGGGGTTTCCTTTCCTCCTGATATCTCGGCTCCACCCTTGGCTCAACCCAAGTGCACAGAGTAAGGGGAACTCTGAACTTCAGGTGCCCAGGGAAGAGTTCCACCTGAACGGTCTCTGAGGGCCTCTGCGACGGACACTCCAGGCCTCTGTGAAATTCCCGCTTTATGCAAGAGGTGGCTGAACATCAGGCCTGCCCAGGCCAGCTCTGCATGCGGCGGCAATGATTCCCAGGACAGAGGCGCTCAGCACGGCCCCTGGGACAGAGTGCCCTCCCTGATCCCAGGCAGGGGCATTCACCTGGAGATGGCAGCAGGGCAGCTGGGGCAATGTAGAAAGGCCGGGGAGCCCCTCCTGGCCGCTGCTTGGCTCTCTATTGCCTTCTTTCGCTCCTTGGCCTCTCCAGGATCCTGGTTGCCCGAGGACTCCTGATGATTGTCGTCGCTGGGCTTCTTGACACTGGCCTCAGCCGTCTGGGTCTGCTGGGGCAGGGCTGCTGGCTGCCCAACACTGCCCAAGGCACCTTCTCCCTCGGGCCCCTGGCTGCTAGCTGAGGGTTGGGCCAGGCCACCTTTCCCTTTCTCTGGGGCAGGGGCTTTGGCACCTTTCTTCATGGTGAGTGGACCAGAGTCTTTCTTTGGGTCTATAGGGCCAGAGTCTTTCTTTGGGTCTATAGGGCCAGATTCTTTCTTTGGGTCTATAGAGCCAGATTCTTTCTTTGGGTCTATAGGGCCAGAGTCTTTATTTGGGTCTGGGGGGCCAGATTCTTTCTTTGGTTCTGGGGGGACAGGGTCTTTCTTTGGTTCTGGGGGGACAGGCTCTTTCTTTGGTTCTGGGGGGGCAGGCTCTTTCTTTGGGTCTGGGGGAGCAGGCTCTTCTTTCTTTTGGTCTGGGGGGGGAGGTTTTTTCTTTGGATCTGGGGGGACAGGTTCTTTCTTTGGTTCTTGGGGACTAGGTTTTTTCTTTGGGTCTGGGGGGGCAGTTTCTTCTTTTTTTGAGTCTGGGGGGGCAGGTTTCTTCTTTGGATCTGGGGGGATGGGTTCTTTCTTTGGTTCTTGGGGACTAGGCTTTTTCTTTGGGTCTGGGGGGGCAGTTTCTGTCTTTGGGTCTGGGGAGACAGATTCTTTCTTTAGTTCTGGGGGGTCAGGTTTCATCTTTGGGTCTGGGGGGGCAGCTTCTTTCTTTGGGTCTGGGGGGGCAGCTTCTTTCTTTGGATCTAGGGGGGCAGATTTTATCTTTGGGTCTGGGGGGCCAGATTCTTTCTTTGGATCTAGGGGGGCAGGTTTTTCTTTCTTTGAGTCTGGGGGAGCAGGTTCCTTCTTTGGATCGGGGGGGACAGGTTCTTTCTTTGGTTCTTGGGGACCAGGCTCTTTCTTTGGTTTTTGGGGATCAGGCTCTTTCTTTGGGTCTTGGGGGGCATGTTCTTTCTTTGGTTCTGGGGGGGCAGGTTCTTCTTTCTTTGGGTCTGGGGAGGCAGTTTCTTTCTTTAGGTCTGGGGGGGCAGGTTCTTTCTTTGGATCTTGGGGACCAGGCTCTTTCTTTGGGTCTGGGGGTGCAGGATTCATCTTTGGTTCTGGGGGGGCAGTTTCTTTCTTTGGGTCTGGGGGGACAGACTCTTTCTTTGGGTCTATAGGGCCAGAGTCTTTCTTTGGGTCTGGGGGGGCATGTTCCTTCTTTGGGTCTGGGGGGGCAGGTTCTTTCTTTGGGTCTTGGGGACCAGGCTCTTTCTTTGGGTCTGGGGTGGCAGGTTCTTTCTTTGGGTCTGGGGGTGCAGGATTCATCTTTGGATCTGAGGGGGCAGTTTCTTCCTTTGGTTCTTGGGAACCAGGCTCTTTCTTTGGGTCTGGGGGGGCAGGTTCCTTCTTTGGGTCTGGGGGGGCAGGCTCTTTCTTTGGGTCTGGGGGGGCAAGGTCTTTCTCTGTAGCTGGGGGTCCTTCGTCTGCTGCACCTTTAGGTGCATTGTCTGTAGAGGAGGTGAGACACCAGTCAGGATTCACCCTCCTTCCCCTCTCTCCCCAGCCAGGCTCCCCAGAGACCAGCTCTGGGCCAGGTCCCCACTAAGGCAAAGATTTGCAAATGCTTGTCCCCCTGAGCCTCTAGGGCCCCTTGACGGGCTGTAGAGATGGGCTGCTGGGATCTCAGAGTCCTGTATAGAGGGCTCCCAGTCCTCTGCTGGGCCTGGACGCCCCGTCACTCCTTGCCCTGGATTTAGTGCCATCCATGAGAGCTTCACATTTTCCTAGTTTCTCTGGGGAGGAGTTCATGTAAGCTCTTGACCAGCCCAGTCCTACCCAGAGAGAATTCGGATTTCTGAGTCCCCCATGCACCACACAGAGAACTCCCCCTGAGGAACTGGCCCAAACCTGGAGTCAAACACCCCTTCCCAAGCTCCTCCCTCGCCTCCTGCCCCAGCTTGGCACCTGCTGGTGAGCTCTGGACTCCCAGCTCTGCTGCTCCGTTTTCTGTCGCCATGAGGTAGGAAGGCGTCCGCTTCCGCTTGCCTAACTCAGGTCTTTCTAGCTGCAGAGAGAAGCGTGGGGCATGTCAGGCGGTGGGAGTCCTCCTCTTGTCAGGCCGAGAGGCCAGGGCCAGCTGACGGAGGGGAGAGAGGTACCTGGAGCAGAGAGGGGCAACCCGTGCCGTCTGTATTGCAGCGGCTGCCCAGGAGCCGTCCTGGGGCAGTTGTAAGGGATTGGGCCGGGTGGGCAGAGGCGGAGGCAGGGGCGCAGGCAGGGGAGGCGGGGACGGAGGAGAGGATCTCTTACACCAGGGGCCATGCAGCTCGGACTGCCACCACCTGTCACTCTTGGCCCCCATTCAGAGGACACAGCATTCTTCCCACGGACCGACGGGAGGGGGGGACGGGGGTGGGGGTGGGGGAAAGTGGTGTTGGAACAAGCAGAAGAGAAAAAGGAGGGGGCACCTGGGGCCCCGGGGCACGGGGCAGCAGCCTTTCCCCAGGCCTTGGCTTGGACAGGATCAGGGAGGGGCCTGGACGAAGAGGGGCTCCCAGACTGGGCCCTGGCTCTGCCCACCTGCACCCCACATGTCCTGGGTCCCCCGGAACCTGGTTAGAGCCACACAGGCCCAGAAATAATCACCCTGGCCCCAGTGCCCAGCTCTGTGCCCATGAGCTCTGCCTGGCAATTGGACCTACTTAGACCATCTTTGGGTAAGAAATTGTCTCAGAGTCTCTTGCTCAACATGCCCATGGGCCTAAAAACCTTTTCTTTTGAAAATGTCTTTTTTGAATCATTGATCGGCTGCCTCCTGCATGCCCGCCACTAGGGATCAAGCCTGCAATCCAGGCATGTGCCCTGACTGGGAATCGAACCATGACCTCCTGGTTTATGGGTGGATGCTCAACCACTGAGCCACACCCTTTAACTATATATATATATATAAAATTGATTTTTTTACAGAGAGGAAGGGAGAGGGATAGAGAGTCAGAAATATCGATGCGAGAGAAACATCGATCAGCTGCCTCCTGCACACCCCCTACTGGGTATGTGCCCGCAACGAAGGTATAAGCCCTTGACCGGAATCGAACCTGGAACCCTTGAGTCCGCAGGCCGGCGCTCTATCCACTGAGCCAAACCGGTTAGGGCCCCTTTAACTTTTTTATTTGAACCATGAACTACATGAACAGTTTACTATTCAAAGTGAGTGAATATTTTTTAATATATTTTTATTGATTTCAGAGATGAAGGGAGAGAGAGAGATAGAAACAAAGATGATGAGAGAGAATCATTGATCGGCTGCCTCCTGCATGCCCCACTCTGGGAATTGAGCCCACAACCCCGGGCATGTGCCCTGACCGGGAATTGAACCATGACCTCCTGTTTCATAGGTCAACACTTAACCACTGAGCCACGCCGGCCGGACTGAGTGAATATTTTTTTAGGTGAGAAAATGCTGAGGAGGTTGGTACTGGCTAGAAAATAAACAGAGTTGGAGCTCCTCCCTCACTCTTGACAACTTTTGCTCTTCCTGGCCCTCCCCTCCCCTCCTCCATTTCTCTCCTCAATGTCCAGTTGACAGCCTGCCTCTTCTAGAAACAAAAATAATACTGATCCTGTCTAGTACTTGCCATATGTGTCAGGCCTTGTTCTTGGTGCTCTGGTGTTGATTCACTCATGTGATCTTTAGAACAATCCAATGAGGTAGGTACAACTTCAGATGGGTAAACTGAGGCACAGAGAAGTTAAATAAGTTACTCAAACTCATTCAGTTTGTAAGGGACTGAGCTGGGACTTGAACCCAGGCTCTCTGAAGGGAAGGGAGCTCCCCCCCCCCACCTTTTTTTTTTTTTTTTTTGAGTGCTTATGATTAGCTTTATCCATATTGTCTTAAAACATCATCTTTTTAAAAAAATATATGTTTTTATTGATTCCAGAGAGAGGAAGGGAGAGGGAGAGAGAGAGATAGAAACATCAAAGATTAGAGAGAATCATTGATCAGCTGTCTCCTGCACACCCCCTGCTGGGGATTGAGCCCACAATCTAGGCATGTGCCCTGACAGGGAATCACACCATGACCTCCTGGTTCATGGGTCGATGCTCAACCACTGAGCCACACCAATCGGGCTTTTTTATTTTTTCCTCACCTGAGGAGTGAGGATATTTTCCCAATGATTTTTGGAGAGAGAGGAGGAACATCAATGTGAGGGAGACACATCAATTGGTTGCCTCCCGAATGCACCCCAACCGGAGGCGGGGATCAAACCTGCAACCCAGTCATGTGCTCTTGACCGGGAATTGAACCTGCGACCCTCCAGTGTGCAGGCCAACACTCTAACCACTGAGCCATGCTGGCCAGGGTTAAAACATCATCTGATAACTCTGTGGGGAGCTTTCATCTTATTTTCTAGATGAAGACAGGGAGACCCAAAGATTGAGTGACTTGCCATGGCCAGTGTGGTTCAGTTGGTTGGGCGTCATCCAGTGCCCCAAAGGGCTGCCGGTCTGATTCCTGGTCAGGGCACATGCCTGGGTTGCAGGCTCGATCTCCAGTAGGGTGTGTGCAGGAGGCAGCTGACTGGCGTTATGCTCTCACCTCTCTCATGTAGATGTTTCTCTCTCACCCGCTCCCTCTCTAAAAATCAATTTAAAAAAATATTTGTTAAATTGAGTAACTTGCACAAAGTCACTCCATAAGTAAGGGAGTCCAGCCAGAAATGTCCTTCTTCACAACCCAAAGTTCTCTTTCCTCCATAAAATTTCCCTGCTGGGGTCTCAGCATTCTGGAGGTTGAAACGCTTCCTGTCCGCATCTGCTATTGGGAGCCCCTGGCCCTCCACTTGGTTGTCCCTGTAGCAGATTCTGGTTTAGCTTGGAATGCTGGACCTCCCTCCTCTGGCCTCCTTCCACTCCAGGCTGATCCCACTGTTAACACGGGCTGGGAGCCCTAGAGGGCAGGGGCTGTATGATGCTCACATGTGTCCCCGCACAAGGTGTACTTGCCAATCAGTGCTTGGTGAGACTAGCAAGGGCCTGGACTGGGTTGTGGACCTTCTCTACCATGATCGCGCTTGCTGACGTCCTCTTGTTGTTAGTGTGGTTGTCAATACTGTTCACTGATTGAGGGCCCAGTGAGGGCCAGGCCTGACTCTGCCAAAGGCTTCACCCCAGCTCCTTGGATCCTCACAAGGGACTCCAGGGGCCAAATGTTAGACCATTTCAATGGCGCAGAAACTGATGCTGCGAAAGGGTAAGAGGCTTGTCTCTATGGAGTAGCTTCAAATTTCCCAGATTCAAATCCAGAGCCGCCTCCTGATGAAACCAAAATCCAGGCTTAGACAACATAAGGGGCTTCACTTGCTACCTTTGTCACGGTTATGAGTCCCAAATAATAACTAGCACTTACTGAACTCTTATGTAAACAGGCCAGACCCTGGATAAGCAACTTCATGAGAGCCCTCAATTCAGCTCGTACAGTCTCTGTGGTTAGGAGCTCTGTCAGCCAAGCTGAGACTAATAACAGGCGTGGGCAAATGCCTTTGCTTGTCTCCTCATCCTCCTCTCGGGGGGAGGGATATAGGAACAGGGCCTGGGTACATAGTAAGTGCATTATAAATGTCAGCTATTTCGACCCCAATTCAAAGGCGTGACAGGAAAACTGAGTCACAGAGCAAACTCACAGAGTTGGGTCTGAACCACCTAATCCAAGCTCAGCTCATTACCAGTCTGCCTGTGGTCTCTCTCCCGGGGTGGCTGGGACCGTTTAGCGAGCACAGGTATCAAAGTGCTGGACACTGTACGGCCTAGAGAAGGTCAATGGGGGTTGGGGGGCAGGGACATATGTCCCTGCCCCCCAACCCAGGCCTATTGTCTATGTCCATTGGTTATGCATATATACATACAAGTTCTTTGGTTGATCTCTTCCCACCCACCCACCCTCCCCCGCCTTCCCTCTGAGGTTCCACAGTCTGTTCCATGCTTCTGTGTCTCTGGATCTACTTCGTTCATCAGTTTATTTTGTGGGGTCTCCATAATGATGTGGACATCCCAGGTAGAGGGCTCCCTGCAGGCTCCTTCGTGTTCCCTTCCAGCTAGGATGAAACTGGACTGGTTCCGGATCCACAGGATTGCAGCTTCTGGCCGCCCAGGCTGAGCTCAGCTTGACCAGCTGCTCCTGGGAGTCCCTGAGCTTCTTCTCAGCTCTCCCTTGGAGGCAGGGGGGTGGGGCATGGGGAAACCCCCTCCACCAGCTGGGGGCTGCCAGAGCCCCTGCCCACCCTGAAGAAGGGGCTCTCCCACCCGGCACCAGCTGTACAGCCACCCTCTTTGCTTCTACAGGGCAGGGCAGGAAGTGGGGCCATGCCAGAACCAATTAAACCTGCCAGGGGAATTAAGGTCAGCAGGATGCAATTATGCCTGTGGATTTAACAAGGCCAGAGGGAAGTTCTCTCCAGCCAGAGTTCACGGCTCCTTAGGCCTCTTGCCCTGGATGGCTCTGCACTCCAGAAGTCTGGGCTCCCAGGCTCACCCATTTCTGGGAGATTTCCTTGGGAGTGGAGGGGTTAACTCCAGCCGGGCACTGCTTCCCTGGCTCTTGGGATGAAATTAATCCAGCCAAGATGCTTTTAAAAGGACCTGCTCAGAGGAGACATTTCTCAGCCTCACCCTCCCTGCTCGGCTGTGATGGAAAATCTAGGGAGTTGAGCAATGACCTTCTGACTCTAAAGGGAGCAGCCAAGTCCCCTCACAGCTTTCCTCTGGTCCTGGAGTGGGAGCCGCTGAGGGATGTCTTCTCCTGCCCTCTCCCACCTTGGGCCCCAAGCCCAGGGCTGTGGCAGAGCTCTCAGGCCTCTGGGAAAGCCCTGGGCCAGACTGCTGTCCTTAGAGCAGTATCCGCAGAGATCTATACGCACTCTGTATAGCCACCTGGACAAGTGACACGCTGTTCCCTCCCAGAACTGTAGAGTTTTACTGCAAAGACAGATAACTTACTGAGCGCTCTCCTCTCTGGCAAGGACTAAACCGGCTACTTTGGGGACAGAGAGATGGGGTTTGGGGAAAAGAAGAATCACCACACAGTGCCTTTTAGGTGAAAACAGCTTGTAAAATCATTCATAAGTTTGGGATCCTTTTTGTTAAAAATATTTATAGAGAAAATGTCTGGAGGAATAGAAATATACATATGAACAGGTGTGGAGTATGGACAATTTTCACTCTTTGTCTGAATTTTGCAAAATTTTTTTGAAGTGACCATTTGAAATTGAGCAGATTAATAAATAATTTAAAACCTA